AAAAAAATACCCACATCTGCTTGTTTCTTGTCATTTATTGAATAACATATGTTGTTTTAGTTATAATGATAGTACTTGTGAATCTCTGTTGTGCAAGTATTCTTCTCTCTTTTTCAATTGCATGTCACATGCTATAAATGTTTTTTTGTTTTTTATGAGTATAATAAAAAAAACCCTTCTTTGAGCTTACAACATTTATCAAGAGATTAAATATAAAGATTTTTCTTTAATATAATGTTTTGATAATCTATCTGACACATACATTTCTTTTATTTCAGATTTTCTTTTTCATATTAATTTTCATTTTCTATTTAAAATCTATTTATTATTCCATTATGGATACCGGGAGTGGTGATAAATCAAATGCTGACAATGATCTCTATTTACCACAAACTGACTCATTTTGGGAAGTATGTATAAAAAAAATATTCTTATGTAATCTAATATATATATGATTCATAGATTGGTAAATTTAATCGAGCTGTGAAACGTTGTGACGATGGAAATAAATTAACAACTGATCTTGTTAGTATGATAGGTGAACGTGCTGAACTTGAAAAAGCATTTTCAAAAATGCTTAAAAGTTGGTCAAAAAAATGGTCTGAATATGTTGCGAAATGTAAGAAGAAGAAAAAATACCTTTCAATATGATAATTATTATTATAACTTCTTTATTTTTTAGCATCTGAATTTGGTTCGATGACATCAGCTTGGAAAGCAATTATGGGCGAAGCTGATGCATCAGCTGAAGTTCATCAAACTGTTCATGATGAATTACAAAATGATGTTATACCTGCAATAAAATCATGGCAAAAAGCTAAATATGTTAAATCAATGATGCATATCAAAACAACAAAAGATTTTGATGAAGAATTTAAACGAGTTTGTATTTATATTAAATTTTTTAATGGAGAAAAAATAATATATTATTTTTAAGGCACAAAAACCATGGGCGAAATTATATGTTAAAGTTGATAAATATAAACGTGAATATCATACAGCAACAAAAGCTCTTAAAATGGCTGAAACACAAGAAAATAATGCTAAACTTGATGGTTCTATTCCACAAGAACAAGTAAATAATAATAATAATAATATTGAACGAAAATAAATCTTCTTTTTCTTTATTATTAGCGTACTAAAGTCGTAGAAAAAGTTGAACGAAGTCGTAAAGAAAAAGAAGTTGCTAAAAGTAAATATACTGAAGCTCTTCAAGAGCTTAATCGAGCTAATCCAAAATATATGGATGATATGAACGAGGTAATTATAAATTATTAAAAATGATTTTCCTATTAATTTATTATAATTAAGGTCTTTACCCGGTGTCAAACATTTGAAAAAGATCGTCTTGTGAAATTTCGAGAGTTCTTGGGTGCAACTGAAAAATGTCTCGATCTCAGCAGTAGACTACAGTAAGTTAATTAAATCTATAATTACATTTAGTCCGAAGTGATTTCTTTGTGAGTTAACTTGACATGACTTCGATTATGTCATCCATGTGTGGGTGTGGTGTCTATGAATATGTAGATAAAAATAAATGGTTATTTGCATGTATCTAAATCTAATTTATAGTAAATGAAAATTGAAACTTATTTAAAAGTCATGCTATTAGAAAAAAAATGTCATATTGCTTGATTGAATAGATTATTTCAAACTTGATTTTTTTTTAGAACACCAATTTTTCAACAATTCCCTCAAACAATTAAAGCTAGCGATCCGGATAGAGATTTAACATGGTGGTCGGATACTTATGGTGCGACAATGAAAATGAATTGGCCAATATTTGAGGTATTTTATTCCTTTTTGTTTCTATTTTGTTGATTGATTTCATAAATCTATCAATGCTTCTTCTTGATTTTTTTACAAGCTTGCAAATGCTTTTTCTTTCTCTTGCTTTGTACTATTTCGATTATTACCCTTACCACCTCTTAGGAGCCAACAAATATAGTTAATCATCTTCATCAACAACTACCACTGCAACAACAACAACCACAACAACCAACACAACATAATCGTTATTCATATTCTGGTGATTTGTCATTAGGTCATGATTCATGTCATCGTCGTCCATTAGCACATTTTGTTAGTCAAACAAGTGCTGCTGTTTTAGTTGTCGATTCCTATGCAACTCTTCGTCGTTCGATGCGACGAACAGCAGCTGTTGTTACACGTGTTCGTCGAGATCTTGCCAAGCGTGAAGTAGATTATCACATATCTATATATATTAGGCTCCCACTATTAGAAAATAAAAAACAAACAAACTTATATTTTGGTTTCTTTGCTGCATATGTATACATACTGACCATACATATCTATATCTATATATTTTCTTCTCTTTTTACATTGGGTATATATGTATTATTTTTTCTATCCTTTCATTTGCTTGGCTCTTTTTTTGCTAACCATCAGTAATAAGTTTTTTTGGAAAGAAAAAAATATTTCAATAATATCTTTCTATTATAGGAATATTCTGATGCACAACGTACACTTTCTCGTCGCGGTAAAGCCGATATTGAACGAGAAAATCCAGTAGTTGTTACTGCTATTCGTTCAAGTCATAATGGACCACCAGGTGGTGCTCCATCATCATCTGATCATCGTCTATCAACTAGGTAAGAAATTAATATTAGTTTCATCTTCTTTTGTTTTTAGGAAATATTTCATAGTACAAAACTATTTTTCTATTTTTCTCTGTCAGTAATTCAGCATTTAATGAAGAGAATGATTCAATATCAGTACCAATTTCTACTGATACATGGATCACATCAGAGTGGGTTTTAGTCGTTTATATGAATATATATTTTTTTATTGTTATGTCCTGTTCATGATTTATATATCCTATGCTTTTGTATAGTTATGTAAATCAATCGCCAGTACCACCAATACGGACTACACAGTCATCTGTTTATCCTAAATTGGATACAAGTAATGCAAGCAATTCGAATCCTTTCGATGAAAGCGATGATGATGATGATGATGATGATAATCATGATAAAGAAAAATCGACGACTAACCGGTAGAGAGATAAACAAATTGAAGCTTCATTTTTCTTGCTCTTTTTTGTGTGTACGAAATGAACATGAGAATGCATATATATATATGTCAGTTTAACATGCTTATATTCTTTGCACGGCACATTGAGATTTAAAATATTGTTGTGGTGATACGCACTTGTTTATAAAAAACACTTTCTTTATTGAATATTTTTTATATTTTATACTATTATTTTTAGTTCAAGTTATGGAGGAGGAACAAGTAATGGTGGTTTTTCAACTGTACCACCCTATCCAGCTAATAATGTTCAATCCGCATATCCAGCATCGGCGAATCCATTCTTAGAAGATGATGATAATATTGATTCATTATCACCAGCTCATCATCCTTCTCATCAATCACCAACATCAATAGGAGGTTCCTCTCTTGATAGTAGTGCCGGTGTACCTGTACGAGCTCTTTATGATTATGAAGCACAAGAACAAGATGAATTATCATTTAAACAAGGTAAATTATTTGTTTTAATTTGTTTTTATATTAATTTTTTGTTTAGGTGATATTTTTACTAAATTAGAAGATGAAGATGATCAAGGATGGTGTAAAGGACGTGTTAATGGTCGCACAGGTCTTTATCCAGCTACTTATGTCGAAAGTGTTTAAGAACATATGATCTCATACAAACAAAAATATCATGTGGAACAGTAGTACTATTCAAAATAACAATTACTTGTGTGTACTTTGAACATATACCTTGTTGTGTTTCTGTGTGCCTTCTTTTTTTTTAAAAAAATTTCTAGTTGACATCGAAAATTAATTGTATAGCAAAACAAACAAAGAAACAAAAAAGTTTCCTTTTTATTACCTTCTTGTTATTTATTGTTATAAGACGTTGTATAGATATTTTATCCGCTGTTCTTTGTGTTCTCTTTGTTAGCTGGTATACAGAAAAAAATAATAAGATTACTAGCTTTCTTACAAATATTTTCCCATTCGTTAAAAACTATAGTTTTTCTTTTGCCATTTTAAGTTTGTTCACTTTTTTTTTCTTTTTTTTGCTTCTTTACTATCTTATGTTTGCTTAGTCTCGCCTGTCATTTTGCATATTTAAAAAAAATGAATAAGTTAACAAATGCAAAAAATGTTCTTATGAGAAAAAAAAATTTTTACGAGAATAATGATTTGATCTATGAGATATTATACTTTAGATTTAAACGAATATACATAAAAAAAAGAAATGGTAGATAATTCAGGTACGAAAGTAAGTCAATTATGTGTTGTAGCATTGATTGGTAAAAGTACTTTATTTGAACAACAATGTAATAAATCTTGGAAATTAAATCAAGTTATACAAACACCTGCATTTAAAGAACATTCTATTAATAATAATGAAGATGATTTTGAACATTATTATGATCATATAAATAATACGATATATATTCATCTTCGATCATTTCATGATACATATCAATTACTTCATTTAATTGATAATATGAATGATGATACATCAATGCAAAATTTTGCTCAACTATGGGAAAATAAACAAGCGAATTTTATTAAAAAATGCCTGATTTGTTTTCTTCTCTCACA